TCCTTGCTTATCTGTTTATCATTGATTTGAATCGTGATAGAGATATACTTTTCAGATCTGGATCTAGAATGATTACCTGTTAGGTCCTAAATTCTAGAGATAGATTTAGGCTTAACATTTGCGTGAGTATCAGATCTTAATGCTCTATGTTGTATTTTTGTTGGGTGAGAGATTACCAATGAGACAATACGGTTGTTCTCTCGACGTTGCATTAGAGATAAGCTTTTTCGTGAGTGATACACAAGGATATTAGACGAATGATTGCGTTATGTTTAATTTGATCAGAAGAATGCATATGTTATCAATTGATGAAATCCAATCCCAACAAGGCTCCGTTTATATTTTCGTCTTTAATTTATATTTTCTGTCTTTATTTATGGTTCCTTGAACCTTTTAAACCAAAACTTTTGAACAATAAGCTTAGAAATGTAGAGGCCGTTGAACGGCGTTCATATCGCACTAATCCTTGTGGAGACGACAAAATTGGGTACTTAATATTTTTTGCTTGTTGCTTTACCACATCAATACTCCGCCGTTGTCGTACCAATAAGGCAGAATACTCAACTCACGATGGGAAGTTCACTTCGCGAAGCAAAGACTTCGACCAATATCTTAGATCCATTGTCGACCGGAAGCCAACTCCGATCACTCGACCAGTTCCCTACATATTCGAGGACCAACTATGTCGAGAAAAGGCCCCAGACACTTAGCAAAAACAAGTAAACACAATATTACATACATATCGACGCGGAAAATATGTACTCGACAAGAAAAACCTACAATGGCATGCACCCATGACAAAAAGGAAATATATTTGGATTACGAATCAAACATTCAAGTACAAAAGACGGGAAAAGCCCACTATTCAAATATTACAAACCATGGCAGGAAGGACAGGAAAATACAAAATGTGGCGCGCAGGCCAAACAACTAAGTAAAAGCCTGACCGTCGATCACCTGGTGAAAAAGCCTGATCCCCTCGGTGACGAGCCGAATCCCAGAGTTGATGACTTGGAATTGCTCAACCGCACTATTGAAACCCAACTCTAGGGTACCCGAGCAGTCCTGCTCGAGCTCCCAGATCCAAGAAATCAGCTCACCTCAAGTGGGCAAGGCTTTCCCCTTTCTAGTCTCGTCCTCGTCAGGCGTCGCATCAATCTCCAACTCGGTAACCCTCGCTTGGAGGCGCTTGTTCTCCTCGGTGGCCTTGGTCAGCTTCTCCCGCGTCTCATCCATCTCGCGGTAAAGCCCGACCTGAATATCATACTTTGCCTTGTAGTTGAGGAAGTTGTTCTCCAACTTGAGCATTTTCGCCTCAAGAGTCGCCTTCGCAACCTGCACGCTTTTCATCTCGGCAAGAGGGCAGATCTCCTCGATGTTGAGGGCTAGGGCAGTCTCCAAAACCCTCATAACAGTTATCGTATCCTTGGACAACGCTTTTTTCCTGGTCTCTTTGTCGACGTCCATGATTGCCTTTGAGTCCAATTCGAGCACAACCAGAGAGTTTTCCCATCCAAAGCGCCCCCTGTGAAGATAACAGGGAGGTAGCACAAACTTCTCCCCGGCAACTCCCTCCGTGAGTTTGACAGTCCCAAAGTCTTCACCACGCTGCCTCTTGACTGGATGTTCCTGAGAAGCAGGAGACTGGCTACCCTGGGGCGAGGAAGAAGAACCCCGGGGTGCTGGTCAATCTTTGACAGCTATTGGACTTGGTAAATCCGATCTTTGGGGGATTTCTTGGTTCCCTTGGCCGCCGCAATCTTGAGCATGTGCTCCTGAAGGCTCGACATTTGACCTGCAACAAAGGAAAAAACACGGGTTAATATAACAAGGAAGAATAAGTGTACACACAAGTTAGGAGCACGTCCACTACCTAAGAATCTTAAAGCTTCCCCGTCATGATTGCACCCGAGGAGTGCCTTGGTGTTGATCAACCGGGCCTCAAAGGCAACCTCCCCATCCTCGTTAAAGATGAAGTTCTCGCCCTTGTTCACGCACTTGGTGAGGACGAAGCTATCAATGAACGCCACGATCTTCTCGTATGCAAGCTGATCCTCGTGTCCAGCTCATTGGACTTCGTGATGTAGTGGTCAGTCCCTTTTTAGAAGTGGACCTTCTGCCACTCGAGGGGAAACTTCGCCTCTAGCCTCTCTGCCTCCTGCCCATCTGCGAGCTCAACCACGCGTTCGAACAAGGAATCGACGACGACATACGATACAGGCTTCACGATGAAGTATTTATCTTTAAAGGCATGGACAGAGTCCAGGTACGTTTTAAACATCTCCCTTGGCTGTTTGAAGGACACCCAGCTGTGCTGCCTGCGTGAAGACTACGTTGAAGATGGAAAAAGGCGGAAGAGTAGTGGGAGTGTGGCGTCGATATGAAGGTGTTGGCATACGGGCTTGAATGCCCACGCAAACGCGATCACGTTTGGATGAAGCTGCGAGGGTGCTAACTCCAACAATTGGAATACCCCCATCAGAAAGTCGCTGAAGGGAAGACAAAGCCCTACTTCCCAGAAGGCGAACTCGTACATAGGGAAGCGCATCCCCTCGTATGACGAGCAAATCTAGTCCATTTCCTTACGCTCGTAAGTCTTCTAATTTGTAAGGGGCCCTTCCTCTAGGACCTCGACGGTTGTGAAGGCATCTGGTCGTCAAAAACAAAATGTGAAGCAATTTCTCGGGTCTCTTGCCCAGCCCAATTCGACTGAGGTTCAATATTTAAGTCGTCCAAGTTAACTTCGATATGTACGTCGACCATAGCAATGTCCTCGGGATTTTGAACCATTTAACGTGAAAAGTAGAGGGAAATAGTGAATTCGACATTAAGATCAAATACACCCTTCCACTGTAAATCAAATGAAAGGGCGAGGAAAATCTCGAGAAAAGGTACTCGACCAAAGCCCTTGTCGACAAGCACGTAATCCCGGGGAACTCCTCCTCAACACAAGACATGAAACCCACACTCCACGAGGAAGAGACTCCTCGACACGAAGGTTCTTTATCAGAACCAAGTGGAAGAAGCCCCCTCAACACGAGTCTTTTTTAGATTTTCTACACCCCCGCGAGGAGGAAGTCTCCCCAACGTTAATCCTATCAAAGACACGAAAACCTCATGAGTTCCCTGGGATCTCCATAAAAAACTTCATGAGTTCCCCAGGATCTTCATCGGAAACTTCATGAGTTCCCAAGAAACTTCATTGAAAACTTCATAAGTTCCCCGATATCTTCATCAGAAACTTCAGCAGAACCTCATGAAGTTCATTGGAAGTTCAAGAAAACTGCTGAAAAATACATAGAAACGGTCGGAAGACGCATAACTTCGTCGCGAAGTTCATGAGAACACGCATCCCTAAAACTACAAACTACGACTAACCACTATCATACAAACTGAGAAAGGAAGTAATGGCTTACTTGGATGAAAAAGACACTAGGAATTTAGGTGAAGGAAAGACGGTTGACGGCGAGCAAATGTGGAAGAGCAGAAAAACTTGAGGAATTCTTGAATAGCTTGAGTACTGTGAGTGTAACAAATGAATCCCCGCTCCTCCAACTTATATCTACTGGCACGCAAAACAAATTGTTGCCTAGTCCCTCGAGTATCCCTACTCGTAGGCTGTCAAACGCATCTATTATTTCTGATACGTGGCTCAAAAGACGTCACACTTATCTTTTCAAGCCCCAACACACGGCTCGATGAAATGACGTGTCTATTCCTTCCATTTCCCTCACTTATTCCAGAGTTCTCCGTCCCGAGTCTTAAAACAAGTCACGTTGTCGAGCACAGGTAACGACTTTAGCCCCCTCGCGAGGACATGGCCTCGAGATAAACGCAAAAGTGGACCTTGTAGTTGAGCACGCGCAAACCTCGCGGGAAATATCTTGGTGAAAATCTTCATATGTTCGCGTTGTCGGGCACGATGATTAACTTACACGTTCCCCTGTGAGCATAGTTCCGCGAGGTCACAACCACAAATTCAAACAAAGGCCCTCCTCACGCAGATTTCCTTCATCCCTCTTCGACACGCGAACTGACTCTAAGTCATTACTCCCTTGACCGGGAGCAACGACTTGGGGGATCCTGTTTTGGATTGGGCCTGAGACTGATCCACCGTCGGGCACAGTCCAGTCCAACTCTGCGTCGAGGAGGGCCCAACACAGGCTCAATCCTCCATAGCCGTTGGAGGTCACGTTCTCCACGTACTCCTCACGCGGGAACACGTCACCAACTAAACCCACGCCCTCGAGAACAAGTCCACTTCCCGGAGTTCGTGGGGCAGTTGACCCAAAATGAAGACCACATGCTGGTTTTCCCTACTTCCACGTAGGATCCTAGCAGTCATTCGTTGTAGGCCTTACGATCCAACCCACATAAATCAAGTCTAATAATTATTAATATTTACTCATTTCGTTCTTAAAATTTATACACCTATGTTGATCACATACACCTTAAAGAAATTACCTATAATTTTCCCTCCAATTCACTGTTATACGAGTATACTTAACATATAATTTTTCAACTGTTCTAATATTTTTTAGGCTAAAGAACTATATATAATATACACGAATCTTATCTCAAATGATAGAAATCGAAATTATTAGATTCAACATTATCACTAGAGTTTATACTGAAAGTTATGTATATTAATTTCTATAGTTATTACCATTTCGTCTGGAAAAAAAAACTCATACAATAATTATAAAAAATTGGAAAATTGTAGCATAGTTTATCTATGAATAAAGGACTATTAAACAATACCCCAAGGAGGTGCACGTTTCTCCCCACGAATTGCACTTCGAAGTAATATATCAAAAACACATGGATGGCTTGTGATACATTTTCAACAATATAATTTATTATTATATTCATAAACAAAATATACACAGTTGACTTTTTGTGAAGAATACATTACCATTGAATCATCATCATCATCATCATCTGATTGAAAAGGGTGTGGTGATAGATACTAACACACACACACACACAAAAAAAAGAGCATGTTAAACCTTAAGTGCACTGAACTTGAAGTAGAAATCAAGACCTTAATCAAGGTATGGCTCTCAATCATAGCCTCACTATGTTACTGTTTTTTCATATCCTCAAACTTACCAAAAGGCATTTTAAGGTTTCTTTCATTGTCCCCAATTTTGTACCTTTTCATCATTCTACCATTTCAACTCTCTTTTGTTCTCCCAATAGGAATCACTTCCTTCTTCATCACTTGGCTCACAAACTTCAAACTTCTTCTTTTCACATTTGATTTGGGTCCTCTCTCTTCCAACCCATCAAAATCTCTTCCTCTCTTTCTCATCCTTGCTTGTCTCCCAATTAGAATCAATCAAAAACAAAATCTCCCACTTGACCAAAAACATTCAAAATTTCATCTTTTGCTTCCAGTTAAGGCTTTGCTTATTGGGTTTTTCCTTATAGGATTAAATGACCACAAACAAAAACAGAAAATGTACCCAACAGTTATTATTGTGGGTCTCTATTGTAGTCTTGTATATTTATTATTGGATCTTGTTATGGGAATTTTCAACATTTTGATCCATGCTTTATTTGGAATTGAGCTTGAATCACCGTCTGATGAACCATATTTGTCAACTTCATTGAGTGATTTTTGGGGGAAAAGGTGGAACCTCATGGTAACATATATTCTGCGTCACACCGTATATATTCCCGTGAAAATACTATTTTCTAAAACTTTGTTGGGCCCACAATGGACTTCGTTGTTTGGAATTATTGTATCTTTTTTGGTGTCCGGTCTAATGCATGAGCTAATATTCTACTATGTCACACATGTTACTCCCACGTGGGAAGTCACGTGTTTCTTTATGCTTCATGGAATTTGTGTGGTCGTGGAGGTTGGTGTGATGAAGTGGTTAGGTCATAAGTGGAGTGTACATTGGGCAATATCTGGGCCCATTTCAGTGGCGTTTGTGGTGTCGACCGCCGCATGGCTATTCTTTCCACCGTTGTTGCGTGATGGGGCTGACCACAGAAGCATTGAGGAGTTCAAAATTTTTGTTGAATGTGTTATGGAAAAGTTTTAGAAGACTATTTTCTCCAGACTTAACATCAGTTAAGATGTATGTATTTAAAATAATTGCTAAATTTGTTTGGTTTGAATTTGAATGTATATTTTCAGACAACTTGTGAGATCCAAATGCATACTTTATAGAAATATAAGAGATTTTTTAGTAGCAATGGCCAAAGTTTTTCATGTCAACTTGAACTGCAGGTCCAAGTATTTATGTGATTGTAGCATTGAGTTGGCAGATATATACTTCAGTTTTCGCTTTAGTGCCAAACATTATCATCATCAACAAAACTTTCCATATGATATGAATAATCGACGCGATTTATTTGTTTACGACACGAGCTTAGCTCACTCTTTTTTGTAGAATCATACACAAGAATCTCATCACTTATTTTCTTCATGTAATACAGAAATAAAATAATCTCCTTTCATCAACTTATTTCGTCAAAATACATACTCCAACTATCTACTAATTTCTGAACTTAATACATCAATTATAACTTACATGGGTAAAATGTCACGCAATTGAGACAGGCCACCAGTATTAAATGACTCACCAGAGCTGAAACCATATTCTCTCAAGCAGCCAACCTGTGATTTGTACTCTACTTGAGGAATTACATTTGTTTGTAGAAAATGTTATTCGCCATCACTCAAGATGGGAACTATGAGGGGGTTCATCTGTGCCAGATATACAATCGCCCACCTGATACAACAAATCAACAACCAAGGTGACCTTAATCGAGGAGAATAAGAGTAAATTATTATGTGTAATAAAATAAGACATCAATATTCGCAACAAGCTAAAACTACTACAGGAAAAAAGGAAATGTAATCTAAAAAAAATCACTAATGCAACAAAGCAATGTGTTCATATCATACCACGTAAATCCCAAATTTCTCTCTACTTCGATAATTCTGGACAAGATTTTGTTATGGAACATAACCCCAAAAAAAAACACCAGGGGTATTTTCAGAAAGTGACAAAATCATGGTAACAATGTGCTTTCAGGAAGAAGCTATGAATTGAAGAAATTAACCACCGCAAGTTCAGTAGCATGCTTATGCGGTTCCAAACATGTGATTCAACTAAGCAATGTTTTCATATCATTCCATCTAAAGTCCCTTTTTTCATCCCTTGACTGTACTGGACTTAATCTTAGACAGCGTGTATACTACTTGGGATGAGGAAGAAGACAACATCCTCTCCATGTGTGTTTGTTCAATTTTATCACTAGTTCCTTTCTAGAACTCAAATAAACAAGTACATAAGTTATTTACAATGTTATTCTGCCTCGAAAATATTGCCTAAAGTTATTTACAATTTCCTCATGTAAAACAACACATTTAGAATGTGCGTGCACACAGCATATGAAAATGACAACAAGTGTTTGTATACCTAAAATGAATTAAAAAAAAAAAAAAATATAGACTTTAAAACACTCATTGATTCACAGACCCCCACAGTTTGAACATTTCCATTTAGTAACACCACTACCTACATATTTATTACACTCAATTTACACATCAAGCACAAGACAGAGTTTCCCATCATATACTTTTGTCTGCTTGTGAAATATGGGGGCAAAATATCCTACCTTATAAACAAAAGCAAAATCCCTAGATGCACAGGCATTATTGTCTAAACATATTCCATTTTCACAAGGTTTATTAATTCCTATTTAATTACTTTTGCAAAGTGCAACTAAAAAGGATCCAATACTTGACTAGCTTGGCAATATCATGGTCTTGATCACCAAGAAAAGAGCAGGTATTAGAACAAAGAAACAACTTTGAGAGTGAAGTGAGGAGCTATGATGCACTTACACAAACATGGATACCAAACACGAAATCAACACAATGATTCGAAAACAAAAAAAAAGAGAAATGGTCTAATGTAAGCACGCATGCCAATGTCGTACGTGAGTTACTGACACGCGTCGGCTATGCCTTTGACCTAAAGTGCAGGTGCTATGCTATATAGGCAAGGAGTTTTAACGTTTTGCCATACAACATTTTCAAATGACCTATACCTTGCCATGGAAATAACCCTAGTTACGAGACTTTTATAAATTGCAATGTCAATTCAAACATTAGACAATCTAAAGTAAATTAAGAATGTAAATAAAAAACACACTTACATCATCCAGCAGCATATTGTAGAAGTAAGGACCAAAGTGAGGTGAAATCTGCAACAGAATAATAAGATATTAGTTCAAACACAAAGCATTACTACGCTTCTATTTAGAAAGAGAAGGGAGACACAAAAAGTGGAGTTTTTTTTCAAGAACATTTAAAACTCTTTTATTTAGAATGTAGCACAGACACGTCTGAAAAATGGTGTCTCCGTGTCCGTGTCGGACACCAACACCTACACCGACATTTGTCATTACCTTTAATTTATTTATTTTTTAAATTATTACCAGCGTCGCCGTGTCAGTGTTGTCCGTGCTTCATAGATTAGATCAATGGTATAACATCTTAGAAACCTACTTCAGTACTAACTATAGAGATACATGTCCATTATTTGTACATCACAAGTTCACATCAAGGTAACATTTTCCTAAACAATTCATGACAAAAATTGGGTACTAAATAGAACTAAGAACCAAAATACAAATTATCATCAATAAGTCAAGCAATTTAGGTCTTAGTTTTGGCACTGGAAATACATAAATTCAAGCAAAAAAAAAAGTATAAAAAAAAAACTTTTTTTTTTAAATTTCAACCATACTATATCTAAAATTTAAGAAGTCCACGTAAACATCCGCATAAAATACTCAAATTTCGTGCATAATTGATAATATCTTAACCTAAGAATCCAAATCAATAAAGAAATTAAGAGCAGTAACAAAAATGAAGTTTGAATTCATACAAATTAGCAGAAGGTCCTTTGTTGAAGCAAATTCTTGTAGAAAGGCATGCGATGATTCCGACGACAAGGAAGATTAGCGAGGTGACAACGAAACCCATATCGATCTGAATTACACAAATTGAAAGAAAAAAAATGGTTCTGTTACAGTTACGAGAAAAAGAGGGGAAAAAACAAAACGACGTGAAAATTAGGTTACCTCTGAAACGTTCGTCGTTTATTGTATGAATGAACGATGGGAAGGTGAAGCTCCCGGGTGGGGGTGTGTATTTTATTTTTATTTTCTAATTTAAAATTTTGGCATTTTTGTGGTACCTTATGCTTCTTTTTATTGGGATCAAAAATATGTATTTTTGTGGTACCTTATACTTATACTATGTATTTTTGTTTTATTTTATGTATTTAAAAATTTTAGTCAACGCAAAATGTATTAAAAAAATATTTTGTGAAACAAAAAAATATTTCTATTTTTCACTTTTCAAACAAGAAATACTTTTTAAGTTTTATTTAAAATATTTCTATAATCAATATAGTAAAATAACCTTTCTCAAGAAAAGAAGTTTGTGGGATAACTATAGTTAGTAAAAATAAATTATAATGATATCCAAATCCGATATTCAATCATATTCCACAAAGTATTTATCATATTGTGAGTACTTGATAAATTTGTTATACTTATTTGTAAGCAATTATACAATTATTTTCTAATAATTTATGATTAACTTTAGGTATTTTAGAATTGTTTTATTTTTGTATGATGGCTGATTAATATTATTTTTAAATTATTATTATATGTTTTATGTTGAGAATTAGAAATTATTGATAAAATGATAAGACAATCTTTTGTTGCGGTGGAATTCTACTTCCGGTGCGGCGAAGAGGAAACAGACATTCAAGGTTAACATTTTAGTGTTCAAGTCAATGAATTTGAATATTTGGAATGACATGTTTTTCTCCTTATATAGTGTGTTATTAAAATTGTTTACTTGAGGTGAGGCGCGTTGCACATATGACAATTGGGTTTAATCAGACGGTGATTGACGCGTGTGGAGGTGGCAATTGTCTGCTCTTGACATAATAGAGATCACTTACTGCATGTGTTTTACCGCTTGATGACGCTATTGAGCCTTTCGTTTTGGGTCTTACGATAGACTCAGCACAATTGCCCTACAAGCCTTTGTCTCTACTTTGTCGGATGAGGCTTTGTCGTGTACGCCTCTAATCCCGTTATACGCAGGAGCAAGTAAAGAGTCTTGACGGGACGTCACTTTTCGCTGGGAACAATCACATTAAATACCCTCCTGTAATTAGTAGTTTTTGCATGGAAATTTTGACGTGTGTCCCTACATTAGTCAGTAATGATATCTCTTTAACCTTAGGATACTTGAATGTCTTTAACAACTCGTGAGAAAATATGGATTGTTGATGGTGTGATCTTAGCTTCCCGGTACACTAGATCATACAGTCCTTTGTGGCAGAGGCACACATAAAGAGTTCTTGAAGTATTATTTTTCCCTTTTTTTTCATTTGTGAAATGTAAAAGTTCTTATACTTTTGTATCATTAACTTCATTCTCTCTTGTGAGATCTTTTGCATTGATTTTCTTATTAGGTACGTTAGTGACATTTTCGTTCGATGGTACCTGTGACACATAGATGTTCAACTTTATTTATTTATGGTAAGATTTTCATTTTCCTTTCTTTTTCTCCTGTTTTCTTTATTAGGTTTATGAAAAGTGTATTTTTTGGGGTTTTTGGTACTCAAACTTCTATTATTGGCATGTTGAAAATTTTTAGTTTTAGAACTATAATTATTGATGCTGCTCTACGATAGGGTGATACACGTTGCTCTGGTACGGTGGTGCCATGTGGACCTACAATGTTAGCACTCCAACTCCCAAGTCAATTTTTGAATAATGGAGTGAGTTATGAGTTACAATCATTGTACTTGTTTATGTACCAATGGTGGTATTTATTAGATGGTTTGTATTAGACCTCCAAAATTTTGGGCTTAGGGACGACCCAAAACAGTTGCCCCTAATATTTTCAATGTCGTGATGCATGGGAAGTCTTTTAAAAGTCGGGTTGGGTACGCTTTATCAGTGACCTTATATTGAGGAGTGGAAAGTACATACAGACAACCTCATTAAATGATTGTCCGATCATTGGGATGTTTCACTGAATATCCTACGCGTGGTTCTAGGTGAACAAGCTAAGGCATAACACGCCAGTCTTGGGTGTTCAAGTTCACTTGAGTATGTTTGTGTTTCTGAGGTGCCATTGAAACCATTGATTATTAATCTTTCACTCCTTCATGATCTATGACGTTACATCTTCTTCTATTTTCTTATTTAGGGATTTCTTTGATAGTTCATACAATTTTTTTCCCTATGCACTTTCCTTTGTCTTTTTGTTATTTCTTCTCCTGCGTGTTATAATTTTGGTGATCCTTGTTTCCAACTGTCTTTACCTTTTTTAGAGTTCTCATGTTATGAATCTTTCTCAACTTTAAATAGTCTCTTATGCTTTAACTTCTTTCTCAAACACCATTTCTTGTCTTACCCTTTTATCCTTTTTATTGTTTTTCATGGATAACCTAAGAGGCGGGCCTGTAAATGTAAGTGGATATGGTGGGGTGATTATCCCATATCAACCTTTTAAAAGAACCTTGACATTCCACATGATGAACCTTTGGGAGTCCATGTCCATATCTCGAATCTAGTAGTTCTAAGTGAGTCATGGGACTATCGAGGTTCCATCGAAAGTGCGAGTGAACCTCCTAACCCATACGATGGGAATAAGGAGGGAGAATATCTCACTTCAGCTTATATATAAGTGGTCGCTCGCTTAGCTTCCTCCGCCCTAGTTCATAAAAAAATGGAAAAAATCATTGCTTCCCCAAAATGTTAATAACTTTTTACTTTATTAGAACCTTCACAATGGTGCATGACCGAGATCCTACTCCTGAAGAGATTAGGGAACGCCTCATATTTAGGAATAACAACCCAGATTCTGACCTACATTATCTTTTATATGACAACTAGGACGACATGGTGAAATATGGACAAGTAGATTTGGTGCAACCACCTAACTCCAGACTTTACCCCTAGGTTGATTCTAAATTGGTGGGGATCGTCTCTGTGTTTAATTGTACGGAAAATATGGAAGAAGCCCAGATAGAAGTGGGTATTTTTTTATTGGGCGGTTTCTCATATTGATAGGGCAAAAGGATTTTTAGGCATTACGATAAGTGTTCTATTCCTTTCTATGAATTTCATTTTACTCATTTGAGATTTAGATTCTCCTTATTTATGTTTGAAGAAGAACTGTTGAATCATCTGGACATCACCCTTTCTCAGCTCCATCAGTTTTCTTGGGATTTTGCTAAGATGTTACAATATTGGTGCGAGTATCGTGAAATTGCAACGTCCAATAGGCTTTTCTTCTGTGTCCCAAACTTCAAATGATTTTTTTAGTGGTAATGGGATCATTTGTTTCCATCAATCAACCATGATGAACAACATCTATATATAAAGTTATAAAATTCTAAAGGACCATTACATTATAGTGACCCCTTTGACTCGAGAGCTCATTAATTTTTGTCTGAAGTCGGTGACAAGGCCTTTACTCATGTTAGTGGTTCCATTTCCTCTTCCTACCAGTGCAAGGAAATAGTTAGGAAATATTAAGCTTGGGAGCACTTTAACAGAAACTCTCTAGTTATTCTATAACCAATGAGAAATTGACCATGGAAGAAGAGTAAAAGAAAGAGGATATGATAACCTTCTGGGAACACCTTGGTTATGAAGAGTGAAAGGATCCCAGGTAGGTAGGGGCCACCAAGCAACAAAGACAACTCATTAACTCTTGGTTCATCTCGGACGCCTCATATGCTGAAGAGAGAAGATAACTTTTTGTTCAGGAAGTGGATTTTTTTGCTTTTCCTACGTAATTTAGTACATTTTTTGGCGGCTAGTATTATATATATATTTTTTGTTTTCGTGATCCATGGTGTCCCTCAGAAATATTTAGAAGAGAAGGAAAGCTATGGTGGTTATGACTGTTTCTTGGGTCCCTCCTCCTTCATTCAACCCCGAAACTAATAAAGTCGGCGAAAGAATAATTGTCAGCCATTGTCGTTGTTAAATAACCTCAAATCGCCATCGTCTCCCAATCTGGCCACACTTTACAGTCGAGCAATGCTAGTAAGGGTGAAAGGAGGAACAAAAAGTCACATGATTGATCCCTCCCTTAATCCAGTGATTAAAGTAAGAGGAACCATGACAAAGGTTTAGTTGAAGAAGGTGTTCGGAAAATGGAAAGTCTTCTAGCTCCAGTGTTGTCGGGATGTCTCTCGAGGTTTCAAATGTGGTGCTCCATAAGCTTCCATAAACTCTTTATTCCAGGGTGCCTCAGACTTCTCAAGAGGTGCAAACTTCTTTCTCTAAAGAAATTTTGATAGTGGAATTTTGCAAGAGTTTGACGTCGATTTCCATAAACGGTGTCACTATTCCGTATAAAAATCAAAATTGGTGTTGATTGATGATGTAAGACTCTGGAATCACTTATGGTGACCTTAAATACAATGGTGTGGGGTAGACCTACAAGGTTTTCACCCCAAATCCAAAGTTAGTTACAATGTCTAAAATGAGTGTAGTGATAAATGAAGATCAGAAAAATATACATTGAATCTCATGTGTCTTGACTATATGTGTTGGATCATCTTGACTAGGCTATGTATCATTGAGCCATCGCATTGGGCTTTTGGCCAACTCATAACATATTTAAAAATACTATGAGGGGCTAAATGTTCAGGATCCAAGACACCTTAACACCTTCACTCAAAATTTTAAGGGTATGTTTAAATTGATGGAATGTAAAGAAACGAAGAAACTGAATGGTGAATAATGAGATTCTATTGTTTGAATTTGTAAATGGATGGAATAAAATGGAATATGATGGAATTCATTTTATTTCATTCCATTTAATCCTCTATTTTTTGTTCTATCCGATTTAGAGTATATATAATGCAATGAAATATTTTTAATAAAATAGTCAAATAATATTTTTTATAAACAAATTGGATTAGAAAAAATGGTACAAAGGAGTGCACAACCCGATTACAATCACCAAAAAGACGAGGCTACCCGAAAAGGACGGAAAGCCAAAAAACAAAAAAAACCCAACCCCGCTAACCTCAATCTCCCAAAGATGGAGACACATACCACTCCGTCCAATAGAGCTTACAATCCAAGACTTTATCAACCCCAATCCAATTCCACGGCAAACGCTTAATCATCCCCAAACCATCAAAGTTTACCAACGAACCTTCATTAAAAACAATGGAATTCCTACTAAACCAAATCGTCCAACAAATAGCAAGGCTAAACAACCATCCAAACTATGCCTTTAACTTTGACTTAACTGCCACCTCAAGTGTCCATATCCAATTAATAGGACTCAGCAAGTCAAAAATAAAATCAATGTGAAGCCAATCTAAAGCTTGATTCCACTAAACCTTCGATACATAACAAGCGGCAAAAATATGGTCAAAATCCTCATGTGACCCATTGCACAAAGGGCACTGCAGATTCGAGGGACCACTCAAAACACCACAACGCTCAAGATTAATCTCGTTGGAAGAAGGTTCAACACCAATCTCCAACCAAAGATCAACAATTTACTTGAATCCTTCGTCCGCCACAAATCCTGAAGCGGCTCCAAAGCAGATCCTTCAAAAGGAGGGCTGCCATTGCAACACTCCATAATCCTGCTATAACATATCTTAATCGAGAAACCCGCTAGACACCCCTTCCAAGTCAAACTGTCAGGCTGCTGCTGGATCACTTCTTCATGTTGCAGCATAGCCTGCAATTCGCGCAGTTGCATATAAGTTGCTTGCTGCAGCGGACCAACAAGCAGGGCCACTACACAACGCCAATTGCCCTCGATCCAACTTCTATCCTGAGCAATTGAGTTCTGATTTGGATCCACCATATTGTAAACAGAGTTAAACTTCCTGCACAAAGGTAAATCACCAAGCCAATTATCCACCCAAAAGTCAATAAATTCACCATTGTCCAATTTAATAGCCAAACAATATAATGAGATATATATTTCATTATGCTCTCTTCCCTACTACTACTGTGCTGCTCTATTCCATTTCATTATGTTTTATTCCCATCCATTTCGTTATGTTTCATCAATCCAAATATAACTTAAAGGTAATGGTAATATGATTACATAATTTGACAAACCCAACATTCTATCGATTTCTAGTCGATATAAGATTTAATTACTCATACTTGAATATCAACAAAGACAAATAATTAATTTTTAAAATAAAAAATCAAAATTTTATTTATTTAAAAATAAAAATTATTTTAAAAAATATATTACATTGACCTTTATTTATTTATTTATTTATATATAGTTATATACGGTATATTTTTTTTCGACTTTATAAAAAATAACAGTAACATTAAAAATTGTATTTTGTTTACTTGTAAGAAAGTGGAATATGAGAAACGACATCGTTGTATTATTCGATGTCTCCGAACCATCACCATGCTCCTTCATCTGCTTCCAATCCAACCAAATTGAAAAAAGGTTAAAAATTTTCATGTTCCACCTAAAACCCTAACAAAAAAAGCAAAAAAAAAAACTCTTTTGCAATATAACAATAATGGCTACGCTTCTTCATTCTTCCCTCACAAACCCAAATAAACTCCTCTCATATTCTTCACTCTTCCACAATGCATCACTATCCACTTCACCCTCTTCTCTCACAACCACCTCAGTTTCAATTTACCCTAAAACGCAACGTTTTGGTCGTCGTTTTGGGCCCGTTAGATGCTCTTTAGCTTATGTGGATAACGCTAAGATTAAGGTCGTTGGAATTGGGGGCGGTGGTAACAATGCCGTTAACCGCATGATTGGTAGTGGTTTGCAGGTGGGGTTTTCATTTCCTTCATTTATCTTCTATAAAGTTTCCATTTTTATTTTGCCCTTTACTTTATAGTTCATATTTGGCAACCCAATTTAGAGCATTGTTAATGGGTTATTTTCATTTTCTTTTTAATTATAAATTCTATGTAGCTGTAATTTAATTTAATGCTGTAGTGCTATTCTGCTTGTTTGTGGATATATCTTTGGTTGTTCAATTGTTCATTATAGCAGCATTTCCTAGCATAGGGTTATTCAGAAATTGAGGGATTGTGAACTAATGTGGTTGCAATTGTTGTACTAATGTTGACTTCTGCTATATATGTTTGTAATTAGGGTGTAGATTTCTATGCGATAAATACCGATGCTCAAGCGCTATTGCATTCTGCGGCCGAGAATCCTATTAAAATTGGAGAGCTTCTGACTCGTGGATTAGGTCAGGCACTTTCCTTGCATGTCTTTTCAATATTGATTATGATGTGATATTTTGCTTGTGTAGCTTTATTCTTATAGTCTTTCTGGTTTTATTGAGAAATTGAGGTTTGGCCTTTGATTCAATTGCTTGATAGTGATGCAGGTACTGGTGGGAATCCGCTTTTGGGAGAACAAGCTGCGGAGGAATCGAAAGAGGCGATTGCTAATGCCCTTAAAGGATCGGATTTAGTGTTTATAACAGCTGGAATGGGTGGGGGTACGGGGTCCGGTGCTGCCCCAGTTGTGGCTCAAATATCAAAAGAGGCAGGTTACTTGACTGTAGGTGTTGTTACATATCCTTTCAGTTTTGAAGGACGGAAAAGATCTTTGCAGGCAGGTGTCGTTTTTTTTCCTTCATTGAGAATACATACGTTCCTTTAAATATGTTAAATAAGATGGTATTCATTTGATATATTTTTTCAGGCACTTGAAGCGATTGAAAAACTTCAGAAAAATGTTGATACTCTTATTGTGATTCCAAATGATCGTCTACTTGACATAGCTGATGAGCAGATGCCCCTTCAAGATGCTTTTCGTCTTGCAGATGATGTTTTACGCCAAGGAGTTCAGGGAATATCAGACATTATAACAGTGAGTTGATTTGCAAACAATGTACACCATGATCGGTCTCACTAGACTTGAAAATATGCTTTTGCGTGGTTACTCTTCCTTCGTAACAAGGCTTGTATTTATCCATCGAGTTCTTTTTTCTAGATAATAATATGAACTACTATGTTGTGATCTTCCAGATACCTGGACTTGTAAATGTGGATTTTGCTGATGTAAAAGCCGTCATGAAAGACTCTGGTACCGCAATGCTCGGAGTAGGTGTTTCATCCGGTAAAAACCGAGCTGAAGAAGCTGCAGAACAGGCTACTTTGGCTCCTTTAATCGGATCATCTATTCAATCAGCCACGGGAGTAGTGTATAATATTACTGGAGGAAAGGACATTACCCTGCAGGAAGTCAACAGGGTATCTCAGGTATATCAGAATTTGTTAAAGAAAATTCTTGTTTTTCCTTTTGCACTTTGTTATCAATGGTTTTGTTTCTGCACTTTCTGGCCGATCTCTTTATACATGTTAAGTTCTCAACGATTGTAATTTTTACAGGTTGTGACTAGTTTGGCCGACCCTTCTGCCAACATTATATTTGGAGCTGTTGTAGATGATCGTTACACCGGAGAGATTCACGTGACTATCATCGCCACTGGCTTTTCGCAGTCTTTCCAAAAGAAGCTGCTAACAGATCCAAGGGCTGCAAAGCTTCTTGACAAAGTGGCCGAGGGAAAAGAAAGCAAGACAGTGCCTCCTCCCCTCAAGTCCTCAAACTTATCTTCCAAAGTTGAATCTAGAGCACCACCCCCCCGGAAGCTCTTCTTTTAGTTGCATAGTTTAATTTTTTCTCTCTTTTTTAATTGATCATTTTATTGTAGTCATTCAGCTGTTTGATGATGTTGAAGCTTATTTGATTTGTTGAGATGTCACTACTCGATTGGTTTATGAAATGGATATATATATGTATGAGCTTCTTTTAAGTGAGCAAAGTCAGTATATTTAGTGAGAATGAATATATTTCCTTATTTTGGTCCCTACTTGTATTAATGGAGAAGTAGATGAAAACATACTATCAATTCAATCACTTATCTTATGTTTTGTTATAATCTACTTCTCTAGTAACAACATATGACACCAACGCAAACAGATATAAGAATATCAAAAATAGTAATAATTTGTAAAATTAAATTAATTAAACAAAACTGATATTCTACACCTAAGCTATTCTACTCTTCACTACGGTAAACAATAAAATATTATAATAATTTTTTTAATATAAATTTTTTTATTTCATTTTTAAATTAAAGATATTGATATAAAATTATGTGATTAATAATTTTATTAACTAATATTTTATATTTTATTAATCAATTTTATTTATTGTTAAAAATTATTTGTAATATCCGAGTATTTATTAACCAAGTTCATAATTCTATTAATTAATTTTTTATTTTTTATTAATCAACTTTATTTTACTATTAAAAATTACTTTTAATATCTAGATTTTTATAATCAACTTTATCATCTCATTAATAAATTTTTTACATTTTATTAACCAATTTTATTTTACCACTTAAAGTTATTATTCACTTATTGTTTATGAAATTATTCACGTACTGTTCATAAATATATATTCTTTTATTAGAATATATTGTTCATAATATAAATATGATGAATAGTGTATATATTTTTTTATTAAAAAAATACTGTTCATAATATAAATATGATGAATAGTGTATATATTTTTTTATTAAAAAAATACTGTTCATAATATAAATATGATGAATAGTGTATATATTTTTTTATTAAAAAAATACTGTTCATAATATAAATATGATGCATAGTGTATAGAGGGTAAGTATTTGACGTCAAATTAAGGTGTAAAAATAACAATGAAATGGACGTAAAGATAGCATTGTTGTTAATTAAATGTAGTATCATGTGTATGAAATTGATACGACACCAACTCACCAAGGCCAAGTCCTCCTGATGGTCCAATAATTAATTCCAAGTTACAAGTGTATTATTTCTATAAAAAAAAAAGAGATTGTTAATCTTGAAGGTTACCCTTAGAAAATTTGAAATTGTCCTTCAAATATTATAAAAGTTAACTTTTGGACGTCTCTCATACACATCAAAACACTTTACAAGTGATCGACTCTCATTTTGTGAAAAATTAATACGAGAGCTAACATCTATATTGATGGAATAGTGAGTCCATAAATTAAGTTTCAGGCTAACCCATATGACACGTTTTGAAATCACAATAGAGTATTTGTTTCACAATTAAGTGGATATTACGGAAGTTAACTTTTGTGTTAACTCTCAAGTCAATAAGTTTTCCTCCTATACAATATTTTTTGTTATAAATTTCACATATTTTAATAAATCTTATATAATTCAATTAAATCATACATTAATTACAAAATACAATCAAAATGATATATATAATCCAATCAAACCATGCACTTGTGAAATTCAATTAAAATACCATATATTAAGTCAAAATGCAAACTATACATTGTTCACAAAATACAAACCAAAATACAAATGATCACGATACAAAGGAAATGCCAAATATTGAGTATAAATGACCCCAAAGTTCATCCTTTTCCTATTATATTGCAAGACATTATGTGCCTTGACTATCATGGCCTATGTAGTGGCCTTCCCAAGGATGCCTTCCAGAAACTCTCTCTCTCTCTCTCTCTCTCTCTCTCTCTCTCTCTCTCTCTCTCTCTCTCTCTCTCTCTCTCTCTCTCTCTCTCTCTCTCTCTCTCTCTCTCTCTCTCTCTCTCTCTCTCTCTCTCTCTCTCTCTCTCTCTCTCTCTCTCTCTCTCTCTCTCTCTCTCTCTCTCTCTGCCCGCTTGGCAAATATTTAATACGCTAACATGCAAGTAACACACCAACCACATGATATGACACTCTGAAAAACCATTAGATGTAGCTGAATGCAATACTCCATGATTGAGGAGCTCGCACTACGTACGTCCTATGGGGCCAGATGATCAAGGTACTCCACAAATATCTCATCAAATCTCTAAGGTGGAGTGTGGGAGGAGCAACAATGGTGACGACTTTAGGAATACTCTTCAGATACCCGAACTGAGGAACGACTTGCTCAAGTAGATGTCAATACATCAGTTGTGACCCATAGTCAGTCATCAAGAGTAGAAGGATATCTCATTGAAGGAGCATGTCTCGCGGTAATTGTTATACGATGTGAAGTATTTATCATTTACTACGGCGTGATCAAGAAAAATCTAAACGACTCGGGTCACCTAATTCCCTTTTAGCGGGATGAAGGAGCAAACACGTGACACAACCTCATCGTAGTCATCCACATATGCCCAGCCGGAGAGGCGTGGAAAATGCTGAAGGATCCATGTTTGAAAATGGTTCAAATGAAATATTAGTAACACCGTAGCATAAGTGTTATGAAATATTAGTAACAGTACATGTCCAAATATGTTACCGTAAATAGAGTGTTGCTTGCAGCCATCTGTATGACCTTCCATAAACAAATTTCCCCAGACTTGGAGTAGGGGTAAACCAAAAAATAGGCTTCCAATTATACTAACGAATCCTTTCCAATTTAATGAAGTATATCATGTAGATGACATCGACATAATATGCACGTTTGTCCACGAATATGGACGTACTAACCAAATACAATAGGTACGACCTCACTGAACATACTTTATATTATGCTACATGTGTATGATGACTTTTAGCCTTAACTGCCACATTAAGGTGGAATTTTGTATAACCTCTCCAGAAATCTAAACCTTGCATGAAATCCTCTAGTTTAATCTAACTCCAATTGGACATCACATATTTTAGCTCCCAAACACTCTAATATGACAAACATTCGGTTTCAAACCCACTTCACATCAATTGAATTCTAGATTGACTCTTCGACAATCTCCTATCTCTTATTCTTCTTGATTACCCTGAGTTCTTCTTGCATGGCTCCTAACTAATTTGAATCATTCATGGCTTGATCCACATTAATTGGTTTTTCTTCAACCATCATCATCACTTCTTCTATTAAGTCACCTTATGCATCGACTGCTTGATCTGGAAATCTCTCATATCCAGCTAGCCTTGTCAACTCAACTCTTGCTCTAGTCGATCTCCTAACATTCTACTTAAGCGGTTCTTCATTTTAATTTGTTGGGACTTCAGTTTGTTGGTCTTCTTCAAACATTATTGTAAATGTATTTGAATCCAATCAAACTGACCCATGAATCCAATCCCACCCTTTACTTTCATTTAATAAAACATCTTAACTGATCAAAAATTTATCATCATTTGGTGAATACAACTTGTATGCAATAATCAAATGATAACCTATGAGCACCATAACCTTACTTCGATCATGTAGTTTCTTCCTCGATTGTTTAGGTACATGCATGAAGCAAATTGATCCAAAAACTTTAATATGACAAAAATTTAATTTCAAACTTGTCCAATCCTTATAACTAGTCCTCTCGGCCATTCTCTTAGTTGGACTTCTGTTTAGAATGTATACAGTTGCCGAAGCTGCTTCGCCCCAAAATCTCTTTGGCATATCTTTAGCTTTCAACGTGTTCCTATTCACGTTAAATATACTTTGATTCTTCCTCTCAACTATGAGATTATGCTGAGGTGTTTAGGGTGTAATGATCTCATGCTTTATACCTTCCTCATAACAAAATCTAGCAAATTCACGAGAGGTGTATTAACCATCACCACCATTTCTCAGTTTCTTTAACTTGCATTCACTTTGTTTCTTGACATGCAATTTAAAATTCTTGAACTGTGTGAATACCTCATTCTTCCTTTCAATAAGCTGAATCCACAAGGTTAGGAAATATTAGTTACCCTCATTAAACCTTACTTTAAATGGTTCACATACATCAGAGTGAATTAGCTCCATCTTTTCCTTTGACCACATGGGCAAGTCATGTTTAAATTCTTTCCTAGCATGCTTTAGATTGCAACATTCCTCACATACATGACTTGGTTCCCTCACTTGAGGTAGGCCATACACCATCTTCTTATGGTTGAACATAACTAAACTTTTGAAGTTTAGATGTACATACATGTGAACCATAACCAGTTCTTATTTTCTTCTGCATTCGAAGCAAGACACTTGTGATCAACTGAGTTGATCTCTACAACATCCGTACAAATTAATTACTTTGATTATTTTCTAGCTTCATGTACAATTTTGCAAGTAATTGACATATTCTTATTAAGTTACTTGTCATTGAAAGTACATAAAACACATCAATGATGCTAGCTTTTTTACTATCCTTCCTGACATCAGAGATATCTCATTCCACCTAGCGATGTGTTTTCCATCTGCAAACTTTATCAATTTCTTAACTGATTCATCTAGCTTGGCGAACTAGTTTTTATCACCAGTCATGTAATTACTGCATCCTGAATTCATGCACCACATGCTGATTTGCTCAGTGTTCGACTATCTTCAACATGTGCATACTGCACTTTATCGATATCTTTCGCTCATGCTTCCTTCTTTCTTCGATAGTCTCAAGCATAGTGGCCAAATCTTTGATAGTTGTAACACTACACCTCATTCATGTCAATTTTCTTCCCAGAGTACTTATTGCCAATGCCTTTCTTGGTCGAATCAGAGTGATTCTTTGAGTTTTTGCTTGACTTTTCATCATTAGCAAGATTCCTTCCCTGCTTCGCCTTCTATTTCTCATATTTCTTGATGAATCTTGCTTGTAATGCATGTTCAGGAACCTTCTCCCTTTTAGAGTTCCTCTACTTCAGCCTCATCTCATGAGCCTCTAATGAAGCTTGAAGTTCTT